CCCTTCCACATCTCATCCTCTTCCCCTTTCTACGCTTTACTGCCTATTTCACTTCTTCCCACAGGAGACAAAGCCGTGCTTCAACCGCCAAAGAGGCAAGTTTGATGATACCTGATGTCTGGTTGAAACCGCCTGCCACAGCTTGGCGTGTTGGCTATGATTTGGTGGTATTTGAATGTAGGTCACGGATCCCCATCGTAGTCTCTCTGGACTCTGGACTCTGAACTTTCATGAATATGAGTATGCGACTATGGTTTGATTGGCGTAATGAACCAACGCATGCGTATCTATCATAGACTGGGATGTTAAGCCAGTCCACGCGCCCAAGGGCCAGTCCCCCGGACCCTGTGTTGTCACCGGTGTGCCTTGAGAAGTAGAAGACTTGAGAACTATATAACTACAAATATTTCTCATAGGCGGGCTGTAGTTTCCGCTGGGCTGCTCCGATAGGAGACAGGGTGCATTTCTTCTGTGGATTCAAAGATGAGCCCTCCCCAACGTACCGACTGGCAAAATGGCTGTTTCGACGCCTCATATTTCTGACCGCTTATTCGGACACCAGAGTCTGTTCGTCCACACAATTCCTGGAGAAGCCAAAAGGAGTAAATCTCTTGCCAAATGAGGTCATGGTGTCTTTTGATGTCACGTCCCTCTTTACTTCTATCCCTCACGATCTGGCAATCGAGACCGTCGAGCTGCTCCTACGAAGAAAATACAATGAAACGGAGAATCGTCTCGGACATGCCCAAGTCCTTCAGCTCCTAAAGTTCTGTCTCAGGACGTACTTCACGTTTGACGGAACAATCTACGAGCAAGTGAAGGGAACACCGATTGGCTCGCCGATTTCGGGATTCATCGCCGAGGCGGTCCTACAGCGGTTAGAGTCGCTGGTCTTCCAGCACAACAGACCGAAATTCTGGGCGCGGTATGTGGATGATACCTTCGTCGTCATCGAACGGGATCAGGTGTTGACATTCCAAGAACAGCTCAACGCCGTCTTCCCGAACATTCAATTTACGATGGAGGAGGAAGAGAACAACCAGCTGGCCTTCCTGGATGTCCTCGTATGCCGCAAGGATTGTGGTGGAATAAAGACCAAAGTGTTCAGGAAGGCGGCGAACATGACGCACATACTGAACTTCAGCAGTAATCACCCAATCAGCCACAAACGCAGTTGCGTAAGAACGCTATATCGACGTGCTGAGACGCACTGCAGTGAACCGGAAGACAAGGTTGCCGAATCCCAATATCTTCGACGGATTTTCAGAGAAAATGGTTAATAGTACAACTTCGTCAACCGGTGCATGCGCAAACGAGACAAGCGACAAAATCGCGCCGAACCCAAATTCTGGCGAACGATCCTATAGATCAAGAACGTCTTCGAGGCCGTTAGTCGCCTTCTCGCATCACTTGGAGTTGGAGTTGCGCACAGACCGGAGGTCAACGTAAGACGTCAGGTAATGAGACCAAAAGACCCCCAGCCACGGCAAGAAACATCAGGAATCGTTTACCGAACTTGGTGTAGTTGCGGACAAAGCAACTACTTCGGGGGAACTGGAAGACTGCTTCGAACGCGACTCGCCGAACACGTGGAAACGGTATGGATAAATGGCACCAACTCTCAGATCGCAGCCCATTCGACGAGACCCTACCACACATTCAAGTTCGATGAGGCCGAAATTCTCGCGAGAGGAGATAATCGCGTGAGCCGCGAGTTGCTTGAGTCATGGTTCACGGGACCTCAGTCTATCAACAAGTGTAACGACATCCCCACTCCATATTCCGTGCTGAGGCATAGGCTGGCCAAAGCAATTGACCACTCGGGGAGCGCGCAAGCCGGTGAGCCAGATGGCCGAGCAATCATCACGCGAGCACCTAACACAGCGGGCAACAATCCTTGATGAAGGGCAGCGCGGTTAATTGCTATAGGTATGCGGTAGCATGGCGACTACATCCTGTGAATACCGCTACTTGCTGTGCACGAGCCACCCTTTTCTGGCATTGTCTCTGATGATGGATTCAAGTGAGAATCCGAAACGTCGGGCAAATAAAGCCCTTGTTCCAGCGATCGCTTCTTCTTCTTCTTCTTCTTCTTTTTCTTCTTCTTCTTCTTCTTCTTCTTCTTCTTCTTCTTCTGATCAACTAGTTCCTGAAACTCGCATCTTCGCTCATATCGGCAATGAGGTCTCTTCCAACGTCCTTCTTTCTTCTACGTCATCTTCATCCTCCTGCTCGCAAGTCTCGTAACTCCTTCCTTCTCCCGCAGCTCCATTATCATGTTCCTCTCCTCCTAGTGCATTCACTAATGTTTCTGCTCCCCTCCCTATTTCCGCTTCTGCCTCTCCATCCCAATGTCTTCTTGCAAACCGCATAATTTCTAGTTTGCGTCTCAGTCTTCTTCGGCTGCCTGAACACCTCCCTGGAATATCTTCCCATCCATCGTTTCGTCATAACCGTTATCCCCCTTCATCTTCTTTTGTCATTGTTCTTTAGCTCATTAGATGCATCGTCCTCGTTTCCTTACCCTCCT